ACAGGATGTATGAAGCATAAGTAATATAAATGGTGGAAGCTGAAGTGTTTACATTCCTAAGGTTACAAGTGAGCCAAAAACACAGCTGGAGTTCAGATCATTTGTATGAGAGTTGAGCTAGAACTCAGTTGTGCAGTTACCACATCTGTTGCCTTACTCGGGGACCTCACCCTCCACTTCTCATGTTAATAGGATCAGAATTTTAAAATGCATACGCAAAATAAGGTAATCAAAGGTGAAACAACACAGTCTGACTCTGGAGAAGCAATTGGGGTGGAGTTTGAGAGGGTTATGTACAGAGGATAAAGGACAAGAAGGAACATGGGTGGACTTGGATTCAAATAAAAGGGAATACACTAAGCTAAGGCACAGTCAGTGGACACCACACTGATTCACCTTGTTCCACGGTGGTTGTACCTGGAATGAGCTGGGAGATGGTAGTGCTCATACTCCTGTTGGCTTCTGTGACCTGATTTAGGGCACTGTACCTTACTCTTAACAAGGAGGTCATGTCCATCCAAAGAACAGGGAGTCAATTAGGGATGTGAACATTTTAACACTTTTCCTGCACTTTAATAATTTTCATAAAAGACTCCATCAATTTATACACACTCATTGGAACTAAATACTAGTATTTATTTTATTATTTGCTAATTAGGTAGTCAAAAATAATACTCCTTGTTTTAATCATTATTTCTTGGAGCTTCAATCTTTTCTTCTATTTATTAGCCATCTGTAATTTTGCTTTGGTAAATTGTCTGTTTGTGTTCTTTGCCCATATTCTACTAGGGTTTCAGGAGTTTTTTCTTTTTTATTTCTATGAACTATTTATATTATCATTAAACCTCTGTAATATTTTTGTAGGAATTTTCCCAGTTTTGTTATTTGTCTTTGAGTTTGTTGAAAATATTTTTACTTTGGAAAAGTTTTTAATTGTGATGTGGTTGAACCCTCTAACCCCTTCCTTTGTGATTTCTTCATTAGTGCTTTTTTACTTAGAAAGACGTTTAACATCCACAGACAAATATTCACTAATTCTGAACTCTTATGGTTTTATTTTTTATATTTAATCATTCAATCCACTTTTGAGTTTATTTTGATTAAAGTATAATGTGAAGATCTCTCCTTTCTTTTGCAAAGAACCAGACAATTTTCCAAACACCATTTGGCACCAGAGACTAAATGACTTCATCAGACCTCTTGGCTCAAAGCAGTATACACATCTTACAATATTCATTCATTCATTCAACTATTTATTGAATATGTATTATATTCCAAGCACTATACTTTATTCTGAGAATACAACAGAGAGCAAAATGTACTAAATCCCTGCCCTTGGAGCTTACATTCTAGAGAAGGAGATAGACAATTATAAAATAAATAAGTTAATATTTACTGTAATGTCAGGTAGGGATGGGGGGTCTATTGAGAAAATAAAATAAGGAGATAGAAAATGGCTGAGATGTCACATTTTGCTTCAAATTTCGTTTTTGCTCTCCCTTTTTAGTGTAGATTGTGTCTATTATGGTTAACCTCTCCCTGCTTCCCTCCATCCTCTTCCTCTTCTTCTTTGTTTACTTCTCCTCCTTCATCTTCTTTTGGTTAAATGTTGCTTGGAGTAAACAGACTAGGGCTTAGGAAGCATTCTTTTAATACAAGGGTGGGGTTATGATCACAGCATCACAGAGGTCATATAGACCAACTTCACTTCCACTGCTTCACTTGTTCCTCTGTGAACAGATGTACTTGGATTTGTGATACAGTAAGAGAATGAGGCCACCCCCTGCAGCTATGTTTAGCCAACATTCAGGGAGTGACCTACATAAAATCTATAACAGGCTTTAAATCATACCTGAGTTTAAAGAGATAGTCACATTCATTCAAATGCCATACACAGACCAGACATTAACAGATGGGGAGGTGGGTGAGGAACACACCTTGGAGGTCTTGGACGCATGAGGCGTCAAATCAGCACTGAATGAAGACTCACTCCAGTTTCCAGGCCTTTGTTCAAGCTAGTCCCTCTGCCTGAAATACCTTTCCCCAGATCCACTTACCAAATGATCAACTTGTCCTTAAATGCCTGGTTCAAACCCTTCAGTCAGTATTAATTCACTCCTTGTCTGTATCCCACAAAATTTTGTCAATGCTTCTGCTGTAATTCTTGTAACAGCCTACCTTGTATGAGATATTTATTGTATGTGTTTTCCAGGACACTTAGAAATCAGTGAGGATGTCTGTTTCATCTGTTTCATCTCCCATTAGGCCAAGCAATAGACTCTGCACATAGTAATTACTCAATAAATATGCATTAAGCTGAAACAAAGCTGTTTCCCTTACGCCCTCTCATTGCTGGTCTGGGTTTAGGAGCAACCTAATTAAAATGTTTTTATAATCCTGTGCTGGCTTGCCCTAAGTGGGTCCACAGCAGTGCTCTCTTGTGTAGTATTTCTGGAAGCTAGTTATTTTCACTTTACTGTTACTTAAACTCAATAAGTCTAAATTACATTTCCTCCAAACTATCTGTTCTTCTGGATTCCTACATCTCTATCCAGGAGACCACTCTTTTTCCTAGTTACCAGGGCTTAAAACCTTAAAGTAAACTTAAAAATCACCTTTTCTCCCAACCCCCACCAAACCCTGTCAATTCTTTTTTCCTTCTCATGCATTCCGGATAACAGTGCCTTTACCGTTGAGAGAAGCATGGATTTCCTTAACCCGAGCTGCTTTTACGTTACAAATTATGTCAGAATAAACTCTATGATTTTTAAGGACAGAAATTTACTTCAAATTACAGTTGGAAGATAGAAGTCAAAGAAATATTATCAAGAGAGTCAAAGCAGCCCAATGTGACTCTCACTGCAAACATTTTATATACTGTTTTGGAGAACGTTTATCTCCCTTGTAAATTACATTATTCTCATTCTTTAAAAGGAGCTTAAGTGTTTTTCTAACATCGTATTTGAACATTTGCCTTGTTAACCCCCTTCTATTCTCAGTTCTCCCTGCTAAAATAAGAAACTAGGAAAAATAGAACTTGCTCTCTCTCCTTCTCTCTGATGGAAATGTTACTGCACAGTGTAATGGCCACAGTGATGGTGGCAGCAGTCAAGAAGAGCAGAGCTGATGTGGGAGGGGTGGTGCTGTATTTTATAGACTGGATAAGTTGACCTTCAGTAATCAATTCTCTCCAAAGTACAACGTGAATGGTGCTCTCAACCTTCTGCCTATCTCACAGTCTTAAGTGAACAAATACAATGATATATGTGGGAGCTTTTTTGAGTGCTAAAAAAAAATTTATACATAAAGGACAGCCATCAGTGTTACACATAGGAGAGCTGGAAACAATCTATGTCTTTACCTGGTAAATCTGTGTGGAAGGATTATTCATTGGCTTGTGTTCATTCTCTCCTGTAGGGAGAAAGAGCTTCGGTTAATCAAGCAGCTCGTTCTGTCCCTATGTTCTTCAGACACATGCAGGGAATAAGGGGACTTACAAGATCCTAAATCTGTGCCTGCCTGACAGGAAACCAATGATTCGACAGGAACAGAAGATAAATGGACGTAGGTGATTGTATATTACATCTCAGTGACCAAACCCTATCCACCTGATACAACTCTTGTAGTAGAAAACCACGTTCTACCATGGTGGGGAAGTTTCCCGAACTGAATGATGAACAATCATTAGTTAGCCAGAAGGGAGTGCCCATGAAAGTCTCTGCCTTATTCTTGGGGCTGACTGATGTTTACTGAGGGGACAGTTCCACAGGCAGGAAGGAAGTTATCCAGCTGTCGCTCTGTTGTTCTCAGGAGGCCTGTGTAAAATATCCCTTCCTTCTCCTGCCTCTCATCCTTGCTAAACTTCTGACCTCTGCCCTCCTGTCACTGTCCAGATCAGCTAAGGGAATCTTGCTGTCCTCCTGGCAAGAGGGTTGATAGAGGGAATTGTCAAGCAAAGGTCTGGAAAGGATTCAAGCAGGAAGAAAACAGAATTGTCAACATTAGAGACTGTGAAACACATGCCAAACACAAAGGATGTAATAAGTTATAGAAACCATTTACACCTAAGGAGGAAGAAAGGTTGGCCTAGAATGTACCATTCAGAATCACACTGGCCCTGGAGAGGAAGCAACCATGTAAAATGTGAAGCCCACGGGCAGCCTGTGCTTATCGATTCTGCTACATCTCCTTGTGTCACATGTATGAATCAGGCAGTTTATAGACAAAACCCCCGGTTGCAAACATTTAGTTGTATGGGTGTGTATATTGTTCTCCTAAGAAATGCAGGTACAGGAGACCCTTCCTTAGAGGAACAAGCCTCAGTATGTTACATTCATAAATAATGCATAACCTCAGCCCAGAACTCATACACTGAAGGCTGTCCCTGTAAAATCCAGATAGTTTGAGATTGTCAAAATTCCCACACAAGCTTGAGTGAAGACTACTTTGCCCATTTAATGGCAAGAACAAGAACTTGGGAACAGAGGCTGGCTCCCAGATCAAACACTGACACTTTGTGAGTATCACCCGACATCTCTATGACTGTTTCCTCACCTGTCATTTGGAGATGATCACAGAACCTACTTTTGTATGGTTGATTCTGTATGGTAAAGATTAAAAGAGAAAGCCCTTGTGTTTCTAGGCCAGCCAAGAAAGTGTTGGATGTCTTAGTCGAACATGTATTTTGGCCTTATTCAGCAGGTTGGTCTGAAGCAGTCCTAAAGTTGCTGCTAAGAAAATTAAGATAACTACTCGGACCAAATTACACACATGTAGCATTTCCTGTTTCTTCAGCACCAAGTCTCTGCTCTTTCTGGTCATTCTGTTATGATGAGGAAATGAGACTAGTCAAGTTAACTATTATCTTGTTTTGAAACAACAGCAAGACAAGCCTGTAACCTGCATTTCTTAAATTCTGAGCCTTAAAGCAAGATACAGGAGAAATCTAACCTTGCTTTGTTTTGGTTTTTTCCATGGTGCCTGTTTCTTCTCTCCTCCAGCTTATTCTTCAACATTGCATCTTCACTGTTCCTGGATCAGGCCATCCTCTCTTCCCCGGACCTGTCCATTGAAATGAAGAGTAAGAGACAGCAGGTGGAACAGGTGAAGTGACTGGACTTATTTTTTGTGTTAGCGTTATTATTATTTTTTTACTTGACTGTTGTTTTATTGTTTTGTGTTTTATTTCTTTAACCATTTCATACATTTTTGTATCCTGTACCTGATAATTCAATGTCTTAAGTTCTTGGGTGTCTAGATCAATGTTATATTTGTTTCTGCCAACTATTCATGTTGCCTTGTTTCCTTTGATACTTGATAACTGATGAATGCTAACTCAAATTTTGGCATTCTAAGAGCTAAAAGTTTTTTAATTGAAGTGTATTTGATTTACAATGTTATGTTAGTTTCAGCGTACAGCAAAGTGGTTCAGTTATGTATGTGTGTATATATATATATATATATATATATATATATATAAATTCTTTTTCAGATTCTTTTCCATTATAGGTTGTTACAGGATATTGAATATAGTTCCCTTAGCTATATAGTAAGTCTTTGTTGTTTATCTATTATGTGTTAACTTTAAAAAACTGAAATGAACACAGACATTTGTGGCAACATGTAGTATGTACAATTTCAGAAGAGTGAAAATATTAAGTTGAGTATTTAGCTTTAAACTCAAAGGTAAATATTTTGTCAGTAAGTATGAAATTCATTACTTAACATTATGGTAGATTTTAATATGCTATATTCTTTTGGGAATCAAATCAATTAATTTAAACCCATTGATTTAATAGCAGGGTATAGTTCAGGGAAATTAACTTGAGTAAGTATGAAGGCTAATATATCTGTTTCTATTTCATTAAATAGTAAATTCCTTGAGGCCTTGTCCCCACTTTTAGCATCTGGTAGACCCCTTTACACCAGGAGATGCTTGTTAAATGTGGCCAGGCTGTTGTGACTGTTAGACTTGAAACTGCCAGTTCAGAATGCAATCTAATAATCAAAAATAATCAGTATTGTGGACATTGGCCCTCTTTTTAGCCATCTAGAATTGTAAACCTTTCCAGTAATAGGGAAACTTCCCAACCTTATGCAGCTTGATCAGAGGCCTCTCCTTACAGAGGCTGAAAGTGCCAGGTTCTCCTAGCCTCCCTTGCAGCTAAGGTATGATGGACACATGATGCTTCTCTGATACACCCACCCCAACTGACACTGGCAGCTGCAGGAGGATTTCCTAAGGCAGATATACTTAAATACTTTCTCCTTTCTTAGAAACAAAAAGAATTCCTAAGGCAGCAGCAGCAGTGAGGGTAGTGATAATGACCACGATCTGGTACAGACAGTGTGGGTAACTCAAGCTGCTGCGAGTGGTGCTTTCCTTACCAGAACAGCTGTACTGTATGACTGGGGGCACTGCTGCTGTCTGCATAATCCCAAACTCGGTTCCCTGGGCTCCCAGCAATTCTATGAGCGGCCCATAACCTTTTAACAAATTTCTTTGCTGCTTAAATCAGACAGAATTGTTTTCTGTTACTTTGCAATTAAGAAACCTGATTGAAGGGGGAGGGTATATCTCAGTGATAGAGCATGTGCCTAGTGTGCACAAGGTCCTGGGTTCAATCCCCAGTACCTCCATTTAAAAATAAATAAACACATAAATAAAATAAATAAACTGAACTACCTCCCCCCCAAAAAATAAAAAAAAGAAACCTGATTAAAACAGTCAAAATATTATTAACACTATCCAAGACTGAGAAAACACAAGTTAAAACTTCGTTCGTTGCTCTAGAAAAGACATATCTGCTCCATAATGACAAAATGCAGATCAGTAGTTGCCTAGGGCAGGAGGTGAGAGTTAACTGAGAAAAGGCACAGGGAACTTTTTAGGGTGATAAAAATGTTTTGTTGCTTAATTGTGGTTAGTGGTTATACTGGTGCATAAATTTGTCAAAACTTATCAAAATGTGTATTTTTGACAATGTGCATTTTATCCTATGAATTTATACCTCAAAATAGGATTGACGTTTCATTCACATATTGAGGTTTGTAAAGGAAAAATGATAAAATTGCCAGAGTCTGGAGGGTGCATATAGATGAAAAAGCATTGGTCAATAGCTACGCAGTTATAAATGAAGGATATAAAATAAAGAAAGACCTGAAGTGAAGGCCACCTGCTATTTGGAATCTTGTACATTTGTACACTTTTCATGTGAGCATGAAAGCTTTGTCAAGATAAGGCATCTTCCCTAGCTATCTGAATCTCTTTCCTAGCTGATATAAGCATTGCTAAGGTGAAAAGTTTCTTCTCCTTAGCAATTGACCATTTATTTAATATTTAGTGCATTCCATAATGAGTATAATTAAATTACAAAATGTGACAGCCAAAAGGCACTGAGAAAATTATTTCATCCAATTTCTTCATTTATAGGAGAAGCAACTGAGGCCTGGAGAGAGGAAGAAAAGTGACCTGCTCAAAGCCACACAGCTTTGAAAATAATTGTTAGAGGTGATTTCTGTTACCTTTTTTGGGGAAAAAAAAATCTTGAAATACATAAAGCCATATTTTTATGGATAATTAATTCCAGACGATTTAATTATCTAATCTACAACTAATTAAAAACAAACCAAAAAAACTCTTTATCAATCATAGATAAAATGTAAATTTGTGCATTTTCAGAGCTAGGACATCATCAAGCTCACATATGTACAAATGGTAACTGATTTCAAGCAGTAATAAGAGGTATGTGATTGCTGAAAAATAAATGAGAAATTTTATTTTTTTAAATTTAATTGCAAAAACAACCAAGCTACATTTCAAAACATTTAGAAAATGTAGAGGGAATAAAGCAACTATAATGCCTCTACTTAGCCATCGCGATCATTTGATTGTATTACCAGGTAATCATTTTTCTCTTGAATGTTTTACATGATTGTTAATGGAGCCTACCTGTCATTTTTATCTCCTTTTTCACCTATGTTATAGCATACACATTTTACTTTGTTTTACAAATTGGATCATTATTATCCATGTTGTTTTTATTGTGGCCATCTGTGCAGAGAGTTCCTCCCTAGTCCCAACCAGTGTTAACCGTCTGCTGGTATTCTTCCGTTCCTTTCCCCATCCTCATAGGATCATATCTGAACGTATATACAGAATGTACATATATGGGATGGGGCTGTTGTTGTAGGGTCATACTATATCTCTCTGCATCCTCTCTCTCAGTTAATCCATCATGGCAGTCTTTCCAAGTTAATTGATATCAATCTAAAGTTATTTTTAATGGCTGCATAATATCCATGGTAGGAATGACCCGTGTTTATCATTCCTGTACTAATGGGCATTCCCTTTATTTCCATTATTTTGTCACTACAAACAATGCTACAACAAACATCCTGGTATATAGAGCCACACATACTGGTGCTTTTATGTATGTGGGGCTTTAATAGATATGACTAAGCTGCTTTCCAGAAAGACTGTATTTATTCTCTTTTCCTCCCGGAATACTGCATGAGTATCTTTTCTCCTGCATCCTAGCCAATAGTGGATGTTAACACTTTTTGGTTCTTGCCAGTCAGATAGGTGAAGAGGATATTTCATGGTTACTTTGGCTAATTTCTACTGCTATTGAACATATCTACATATACTTACTGGACCTTGAGATTTGCTCTTCTGTGACCATCTATTCTTTTGCTTTGCATATTTTTCTATAGGGTCATCTGCCTATTTCTTATCAATGAATAAGGGCTTTTATATAATATAGGTTAAATCTTTATCTGTCCTATGAATTATGACATCTATCTTTTCCCATCTATCTTTTTGTCTTTTAACTTTGTGGTCACTTCTGCTATTGAGACATTTTTTAATTTATGAAGTTAAATAACTTTTCCTAAATTGCTTCTAGGTTTCTTGAGTTGGCTTAAAAGCTCTCCTTAGCCCAAAAGTTTGTATATATATTTTTTCCTAAATTTTCTTCTAAGGTTTTTTATTATTGTTAAGTATTTAATGCATCTGGATTTTGTTTTTATGTATGTAGCAAGGGAGTGTTCAATTTCCTTATTTTCCAGATAGCCACTTGTAGCTACACTAGTTATTATGTAAGTCATCCTTTTCCTTCATGGAACTGAAATATCATTTTTATGATGTATTAAATTCCCTTGTACACCAGGATCTACTATGGACTCTTATTCCATTCTGATCTCTCTCTCTATTCCTATGCCGAAATCACAAATTATACAGTTCTTCAGTGTTTTAAAAATATTTGGTGAGGCAAATCAGCTATTACACTTTTTTATAATTTGCTTTTCCTAACACTTACTTTTCCATATAAATAAATGTACTCCATGATTATTTTATCCATTACCAAAAAATACTGAAATTTTCATTGAAATTACACAGATTTATATATTAATATAGGAAAATTGGCATTTTTCTTACACTGAATCTTGTCATCCAAGAACAATATAGTTCATCTCATTTGTCTGAATCCCTTGTTTTAGGTTTTTCAATCAGATTTTATAGTTTTCTCTTAAAGTTCCTGTTCTTTTCCTGTGAAATTTATTCTTAAGGATTTTATAGTTTTTATTGCTATTGTGAATGGCATTTTTTTCCATTTCCATGTCTCAAGTGGTTTTTTATTCTCTTTTTTTTTCTTTTGGATATTTATTTTGTACTCTGCCACCTTGCTAAATTCCTTTATTAATTATGGAAGATTTTAAAAATAAGTATTTCTAGGTAATTTTTAATCCTCATTTTCAAGTTTTATACTGGTTATTTCATTATATTTTATTGTATTTGTTAGAAATTCTAGAATAATGTTTACTAATAATGGTGACAGTGAATATCACTATCTACCTTCTGGTTTTAATATAAATGGCTTTAAAGTCATTTAGAATCACATTTTCTACCTTTGGTAAATAACAGGTATCACGCTTAAGTAATTTCTCTTTAATCTTTTTATTTTATCTTATTTTTAAACATTTTTTATTGAGTTATAGTCATTTTACAGTGTCAAATTCCAGTGTAGAACACAATTTTTCAGTTATACGTGAACATACGTATATTTATTGTCACATTTTTTTCTCTG